CTTTTTGCCTTTATTACATTATCACCCAATAGATGTGAATGATAGTAAATGTACCGTCTATGTCCAAGGTAAAGAAAGGTGTAAAAAAAAAATAGGGCTTTGGCGCTGGTGGTGTCGGAACCAGCTCCTCTCCGGTCCCCTGTAGATTCTTCCTCCCTCACCCTTCTACCCCTCGCTCTCCTTTAATCCATTATCTTTCCCTACCCTATCTTTTCCCCACTCCTCTCTGTTTTCATTCTTTTTTTCATTTTGGGTCCAAAAGGGGGTCCTTTGAGCTGGAGTTTCCCATTGACCAACCCACCTTTTATTATAGAGATCTTACTCAAGCGGGCATATCCATGCTTTACTATGTTACGCTACACTTTCAGTAGCGGATACCCACCTGCTTTCACTTCCAGGGGTCCTTGTGTCACACTTCTAGTTGACTATTTTTATATGCACAGTCCCTATTGCAAAATTCTACTTTATGCATCTACGTACAGGCAGTCCCCGAGTTAGGTTCTTAGTACTGAACCTCCTGTACATTACAGGAAGTTAGACGTGCAGACGAGGAGTGGGTCTGGTTTCTAGTACTGTATCCATTGTACATTACAGGACGTTTTTAGACGTACAGACGAGGAGTGGGTCTGGTTCGTAGTACTGGACCGCCTATAAATTACAGGAAGTTGTTGAACGTGCAGACGAGGAGTGCCTGCCTCTTCTTTCGGGTCTGGTACTGTTCATTACAGGAAGTTGTACAAACATCTGTCCAAGATGCATTTAAAAGTAGAACTTCATGCAAATTTTATTTTTGGTTACTATGGTGTGTGGTTAGAGCCGCTGAGGAGGCAAAACAGACATTACAGCGGTTAACCCTTCCCTATGCTATTCAAAACTTTAAAAAAATGGGGGGGGGTCTGGAGTTACACCTAAAAAAAATAAAATAATTTACCTGTTCCAACTTGCATACAAATTCAACTGAACAAACCTACAGTCCCTATTTTGTTTGTAACCCAGGTACTGTCTGTACAATGCTTTCTAGAAGTGTAAGGAGTCGCAAGGATGCCCATTGTTGTGCAGGACACATTGCAAAGCACCTCTGGCACAATTATCTGTGTTACCAGAGCAGTGAGCTTATCAGTCTGCTGCTTCTCTTTTCACCTTCCAGTCACAGGTTGTGGGGAGAAGGCCCCGTAAAGGCCACTTAAAGTGACACTAAACTCTGGAGATAAATCTTAAAAATGCATTTAAGTACCTTGATGATTATCCAAAATGTATCTTATTTGTGTATCACTCGGCCGTATATCCTCAAATAATCTCTGAATTGGTGCCGACACAGGGACCATGGGGAACAAAAGTAGCCGCCCTCCAGAAGGAAGGACAGTGTCAGCACCAATTCAGAGATGATTTGAGGATCTACAGCCAAGTGATACACAAATAAGATACATTTCTGTTAACAGTTCAGGTACTTGAATGTATTTTCAAGCATATGAAAAGATTTGTACAATAATGTATGTGGCTACCTTAAATTATCAAAGGCCTGCTAAGAGAACTGTATAGGCAGCTTAATGAATTATGTCCAATATTGGTTAACTGGCAATGGAAAAAAAAACAAAAACAAAAAACCCCACAAAAGTAGTCTAATTAAAGTTCAGATAACTTTTATTTTCTATTGAAAACATCCTAACAAATCGCATAACACAAAAAAGGTTACAACACAAGAAGCCTAATCAGCCAAAATAATAATAATAAAAAAATGTTATGCAAGATGGAGGCAGACATAGGATGCTGGATGTAATGTCTTTAATAAAAAAATAAAGAGATACATCTGGTCTTAAAAATAATTAAAAGCTTATTTTAGAAGGAAAAAAAGAATACATAAATGGGGCACTAAAAGGCCATCTGAAGTGACAATGGTAATTAAATTAACACATAAGGCTTTTTTTGTGGAGTGGAAATTGATCATTGGTTTGTTGATTCTAAAAATAAAGATGAACTGGTTTTGAATAAAAACATACAGTGATGTTGTGATCAGCAAGCTGCATTTCCATTGCTGCTGTAGAACTACAACCCCCAGCAGGCCATGCTAAGCTGGAAGTAGGACATGGAGAGGGGGGCTACATATTCCACAACTGTTGGAGAGACACAGATTGCTATATCACTGGATTGTGTGTAAGGAAAATGAAGTCTATTCAGACTTTGATCACAGATTATAGAACTACAGAATGTGTTTTCTAAAGATCCATTATAGAGAAGGTAATATGAACTTGCTCAATACTGTTCCACTTCCATCGAACCCATGACATCCGAGTTACTCTTAGCCGGCTAATGAGAACTGAGAGCCAGATCATAGTGATGTCCAGCTGTAGCAGGGGAAGGCAAATCTGGGCACTCTTGCTGTTGTGGAAGTGCCATAAAGCATTGCAAGACTATGATGGGACTTGTAGTTTCACCACACCTGGAGTGCCAAGGTTGCCCACCCGAGCTACAGTATAAAGAACCACTAAAGGATAGGATTGTTTGATATAAAAGAGCAGCTCGTAGAAATTACTGACTTGCTTGTAACATTACGAACAGACTTGTATAAGCATTATACAGAAATAAGTCTACACCTCAAGAGAAAAGCTTAATACAATGCAGCTCAATGTCCTTGGATGTGGCAGCTGCATTTAGGGGCGTCCCTAGACGTCTTGCCATCTGAGGCCGGGGAAACGGTGGGGAGGGGTATATGTGGGCTGGTTAATTGCTCACTCTTGGTGCTCATCCGGGCGGGGGGTGGTGTTGGTGGCTCGTGATGAAAGTTCCGGTGCGGGCAGGGCTGGCTTTGTGCTCATGGTGCATGGTGGCCTGCTCAGTTCCTGGCAACAGGTGACCTCAGTGAGGTGGCAACCTCGGACGCTCTGGCAGGACAGGGAGCAGCAGGTATTCCTGATGACCCAATGAGATGTCGTCTGAGGCAACCGCCTCAGGCTGTCGCATTATAGGGTTGGAGCTGGCTGGATTTGTTTTCTGTTTATAGTCCAAACCTGGGGTGACAAAACTGCTGCTCCAATGATACAGTAGAGCGAGCGTTGTCATCCTAAGACAGGAAGTGTGTCACCAAGCAAAACAAAGGCTGAAAAAACAAAAACAAATGCTGCCACCACATCCAAGGACTGGTAAACTGAAAGATAATACATTTTTGTTTTTGGGTTTAGATATGCGTTAACAGTGAACCCCAAAACACAACTTTTATTGTTGTTACTATTTGGGTAAAGCAGGGGATAAGTGTAGCTGTTAATTACTGTCTGTTAGATGTCCCCTCCTAGAGAGGACACAGGAAGTGAAGAAATCCCAGCTTTGTGAGTGATCATCATAACAGCATGCATATTGGGAAATGTTCTCTTACTGTCTGTTACCAGGACAGGAAGAAAGAATAAAGTTGGCCGTACACTATTTTATTTCTCTCCTTTAGCCCACAGGCTGAACAAACAAAATCATTTGATTCCTCACTGCCAGCTATTGTGTTCAGGTGCCGCTGCTCCCATGGCTGCTGGATACCCGGAGAGGGACTGCATCCGAATGTATGCAAGCACTATTCAGCCAATAACTCAATCCGGCTCTTTTGACAAAAGCCGATTGCTTGATTGAGTTATGCCAACCTGGAAGTGCCAACAGGACCACACAGTGCTTAAATGTGCTCAACGAGGCAGCAGTACCATCTCGAGAGCCTCTTACCCCTCCCTCTTAAAATGGCTGAAGATCCATTTTAATGAGGTGTCACTTGGGTTCATCTGAGTACCAATAAATAGATCAGGTACATGCAAGGAAGTTGGCCGCTGTGCAGTCACGCCGGGCTCCGAAAAGCTCACTGCCTCTCTAAACAGCAATTGTGGTCCGAGCCTTAACAAGTAAGTGATACCCTGCCGCCCCCCCCTCCCCCCCCAATGGCCTGTGGTGTGCCTTGGCCTTCTCAGGTCAGTATGCCTAAAAGGGGGCATACTCTGAATGTAAATGAAATGAATTAAATGAATGAAAGCAAGGGGAATGGGCGGGTGGGGACGTTCGTGACCCGCCGACGTGAATCCCCTGTGAGCCGTGCCGACTTTAAAGGCACAGGCTCCTCCCACAAATCCAGGCTAGCCTTCGGCCAGCCTTCAAACTTGTGCAAAGCATTTTCTGTGCACAAAGAAGGAAGCAGACTGCATAACTGAACCTTCAGCTCAAATAATCCGAATGAGATGTTTAGATGTCCACCTATGAACACATTCAGGACTTTCAATCAAAAACCTTGCTTCTTTCAGAAATGGATTCTAGAACCTCACAGAAATAAAGGATTAAACCAAGAAAAACATTCGCTCTGATCCTTTCTTGTACGATGAACTCTGAGCCGCTGCACCTAGTACAAAGGACGACCTAGCACACTAAACCTGGCTTCTTATCATGTAGGACTTTCACGCGCGTGTAGGCCGTCTCTACATCTAAGATTTATGGCTGAGAGAACGGGTTACGTATTCAACCCATGCCAATTCTTGAGTATTGATCATGCATTGAATAAATGGATCAATCAATCATTGCTTGATGGTAACAAGATCTACAGAAAAAGGAAATGGGTTTTTCCTTATGCAAATACTTGAGATATCTTTTTCCAACATTCAGGTTCATCTGATCGCTCCATGCTTTTTTTTTATATCTTAACATTCCACATAATTCTATGACCGTATGGAGGTGACCACACTGGAGCCCGACTTACATCAGGTCTTCCCAAGAACCTCCAGAAGTCGTTCTGGCAATACTGAACAAGCCTCCTCCCCACTGTGTGTATTCTTTGGGAGGATGACAGACGCAATTACTGACAGTTAAAGGTATCTGGTAAGATACAGACAGGAAGGGGAATGGATATCAGTTCAATAGGGGGTAGTGTTTTCGGAGTGGTATGGGGCTTGTCCCAACCTTGAGTTTTGAATATTGCTGAAGCGGGCAACTTCGGCAACAACAAAAAATGAATGCCCTTAATCTCATGGCACGAATAGCCCTCTTCTTTTTCTTTCCATAAAGGACGTTTCCTTTGAGATTATGAATACACAGTGGTACACAATGCTACTATTCTTACTTCTGGACAATGAGGCACCAGAAATGGACATAATTTATCGGCATTAAATATACAACTAATATGTAAAAAGTTTCATCCTCTTGTGACAATTAGCTGTCTCTCCTTATTGCATCCCTGGCCAGCTCCAGCACAGTACAGTTCGCCTCTGTCTTCTCAGACACCCGCAGGTAGTGGTCCTGTGCAATTTAAGTGCTTGATCCCTTTCTTCCGCCTACGTGCATGTCTTCTACCTGGCCAGGTTCTTTGGCTCGCTGCTTGGGATACACCAGTCGTCTGCTTCCGTGCAGAACTTATAGTGCTTCCAGGCGGACTTGTTAAAAACGGGTAAGCGCTCGATGGATTCGGTGGACAACGCCTGTGATGATTCAATAACAGATTAATCAGTACAATGCGGTCAGTTTTAACCCATTTTAAAGTAAAGCTATAATGTGATTTCAGGGAGTACAACAAATATATATATACATATATACACACACATAGTTTTTTTTTAAAATACTAATAAAATAATCATAAACAACAGCAATAAAATAATACCGAAAGATAGAAGATATCCAATATTAAATATTATTATTATTAATATTAAACAACAAAATGGAGACAGAAAGTGATGAAAATAAAACAAAAGAGAGCAAATGCAAAAAACACATCTTGGGCTGCGTTACATTTTAATGGGTGGATATCAGTCTGGAAGAGTGGGTGTTCCTAGGCAGAATGCATTTGCATGCAGACAGTCAGTCCTAGGCAACACCCTCATGTGATATTGAGCCTCCATGATTGAAAGAACCTAAATCCAATGAAAGGGGTGGGGCCAGGGAAAGGGCTAGATAATGCTGGACATGGAAATGAGGCGAGCTCTATATGACTTCCTGCAGCTTCTAATGCACATTGTGAGAAGCTGACAGTGTGCAGTGACATCAGAGGAAGACATTCCAGTCCAGGAGAGGAGCCGGTACAACTTTGCAAGACTTAGGGCCCATTTACACCAGACGCTGTACCAACCACACAGTGTCTGGTGTGCAGTGCCCCGGCACAGTGCCGAAGCGCTGATCCAGTGCATCACACCATGTTTTTTTTTTTAACGGAACTTTGTTGAAATGTAATTTTATTTAGTTCTACGGGCACAGCAGGGTTTGAAGCGATTGTAACACGTCGCACCCTGCCGCATAAAAAAACAAAACAAAAAAGGAAGGCTCAGCTACCCAACGCAATGCGGATGGTGTGAATGGACCCAGAAGGTGAGGCTGGAATTCAGCTTTGAAAACCACATAACTGGAAAAAACCCTTACAATGCAGTAAATTCTGCTTTGCTAAAATTAGGTACCTCGGCTTATATTCGGGACGGCTTATACTCGAGTATATACGGTAATCTTTTATATTGTAAGCTCTCACAGTCAGGGCCCTTCTAACCATCTTGCCCTCAATTGTATTGCAACAGTAACGTCTTCCTTATATTGCAAAGCAAACTGTTGACACTATTTATATCCTGTATAATAATAAAAATCTTTCAAAAATAAATGGGTGACCGCATTAAAATGGTGACCATACGACATGAAGAATCATCCATTTCAATCACTGCTGGTCTATTTGGATTAAGTGACCAATAAACTGCTTTAATCCCAAAGTAATTTAAACAAATCACGACACCTAAATCCTGTGAATTCAGCTGAAAGGAGGAGAAGTTTAGGCCCCCAATTAGAACGCCATTCACTATAGGTATTCCCACCATGGGTAGATGACGTATCTCTAGAGAGATTTAGAATATACAATGGCTCACACACATAAGAGAGATGTTCATTCAATGAATTACCTTTAAGTAAACGACAGCATCTGTTCCGAATCCTTCCATCGAATGCAGCATTAAATCACCTTGGAAATACTTGGCATAAAGCCGAGAGATGGGTAAACCGTATCCGAAGCCGGCCTGGAAGATGAGAAATAAAACTGGTGTCAGTCTGGAGTTCCTAAGCAGGTTACATTTACTTGCATGGAGTCTACCATGTGGTGCGGAGTCTCCATGACTGAAAAAAATGAATTCCAATGAATAGGGCGGACTGGGGACAGTCGGTCTGGGGAGGAAGAAAAAGATGGATGCCCTCCAGCCAGGAAATGAGGCAGGGCGTAATCTGACTTGCTGTAGCATCTAATGCACATTGATTTTACTGCACAAGGTGAGCTCATCACAGAGTAAGACATCTCAGTCCAGGAGGAGAGGAGCCAGTACAACTGTTCATGGAGTTCAGCTTTCAGGGTCTTAAATACGGTCCATGTCCCTGCTTGGGAGAATCCCTCCCACTTCCTGTGTGGTCACAAGAAAAGGCAAATTTTGCTTCCTGGGCGGTCTTGGGGAAAGCAAATGAGGGCAATTCTACCGCATACTTTGATGTTATCCTTGTCCCCATCAAAGAGATTTCTCTTCACTTCCTTGACCTCATCACCAGGACAGGAAGTGAGGAGAATTGTATCAAGGGTAATGCAGACCGCAACAAAAACCTGATAGAGTTTCTAACCCTTCCCTACTCTATCCAACACTAATATTAACTAAGTGTTGGTTGCAGCTCCACCTTAAGCTGTTTGAAGGAAGGTAAAAGAAAGTCGCATGTTTGCACCCCAATAGCTGGACTAAACCCTCTTCTCACCCCTGAAAAAAAAAGGATCATCATCCATTGGTAGAGAACTGCATGGAGAGATTGCTTCACAATATTAAAAAAAAAATACAATTGTGCAACAATCTCACCATTGGGGAACCTTTGGAGACCAGCACCGTAATAAAAAAAGATCAGAGGCTGGAAAAAAGTTATACTACTTCCCTATTGTTCCCTAAGGAGTGTGGAGAAGACAGCAGGACAAGGTACCAGGTACAGAGGGCTATCCCTCCATGTAATGGACTGTACATGTGCATGCGCGATGAGAAAGGCATAGTTCCAGGATTTCATCACTTGCAATCAGGACCAATTCCCTTGTGCCACCTCCAGCCTTACACACTAGCGTGGTGGCTTCTGACCCGTTCTCGGCCCACATCCCAGCTAAACAATTTATACTTATTAAATGTTCCCTGTCAACAAAAGGCAATTCATCAGTGCTGGAACAGTCAGCATGCCCCAGGGAAGGAGCTGGGGGGGGGGGAGCAGCTGCACTCTGCTACAACTATGCACAATCACAACCTCATTCATCAAACCACCCAAACAAACCGGATCATCAATGTGTGCGAGAAGGCAAAAAAATGGTTTGCTCACCAGAGGGGCGTTCCGAGCATTGTCCATCATGGGCAGCGGGGCTGTGGAATACATATAGCTAAAAAGACGCTCTATTTTTCTTAAAGGAACACCCCCACCGTTGTCAGAGATCTAGAAAACAAGGAATGCATCAGTTAGTGGGGTCCCTAAAGATTCAATTCAGATATATGAATACAATGCTGAGCAAATGCAATGATGATACACACAGAACACAATAATGATCAATATGTTATACAGGAGAACAAGATTCTGTATTACTGAAGTGAACCTTTATCCCAGTGTCCTTTTAACATTTTAAGAGCCACTGGGCTACTGCTCAACTTTTTACAATTCCTGGGTCTGGGCTTTAAAGTCCAGTTACATTTTCCATTTTAAATAAGCTAAATACATCCCAGGTGCATCAGACAATATAAAAAAGCCTGTCCCCGGCAAGCATGCTGCAAAGAAGGTTCCTCTCTGTATAAGCAGTGGTCTCTCTGCAAGGGTCCAACATGCCCCCTTGCTAAGCTCTTCACGCAGCAGAGAGCATGGGATGTGCCGATTGCAGAGCTCGATGTCATGACATATAAAGTCTCATCTGCAATAAAGAGCCAGTCTGCTGGCAAGTGTTTGGCTTTTTTTAAGCTAAGTTCCACCTTACAGGTGAAACTCGAATAATTAGAATATCGTGCAAAGTTCATTTATTTCACTAATGCAACTTAAAAGGTGAAACTAATATATGAGATAGACTCATTACATGCAAAGCAAGATAATTCAAGCCGTGATTTGTCATAATTGTGATGATTATGGCTTACAGCTCATGAAAACCCCAAGAACCCCAAATCCACAACCTCAAAAAAGTAGATTATTACATGCAATCAATAAAACAAGGATTGTACATAGAACAATATCGGACCTCTGAAAAGTACAAGCATGCATATGTACACAGTACTTGGCTTGGGCCCCTTTTGCAGCACTTACTGCAATTACTTTTGCACGATATTCTAATGATTCGAGTTCCACCTTAATAGCCTAATGACAGGCGGGAGGTTTTTTATGTTGGGAGAGGTCAAGGCCATGTCAGCAAAGTCGTTAGTTTCAGGCCAAGTCAGGTTCACTTAAAATAACTGCCTATTAGTATAGTGAAGGTAAAGTCATTAATAAGGCAGCTTATTTGTGGTAAGAGCTAGAGTAAATATTTGCTCACGCATTTGGTCATTAGTAAAACTGTGCTGATAACGCACAATGTGTATGGACACAGGGGGACAGGGAACAGATGTTTGCTCAGGGTCATTCTTCCAGGCGCTTACCTTAATGGTCAGGTCTTCATTTCCTAGAACAATATTGACTTTAACAGGTGGGAGAGACATGCTCTCCTCATGGCTCTCCACGGTCGCTCGCATGGCGTTCTGGGGGGGACAAGAATACAGAAAATTTCAATTTATTATACGCATACAGTCGGGCTGCATTAGGAATACTGAAGCAAGAAACCTGCAGCTGTTTCCCTTAGCAAACAGATTCTACAGAATGCATTTAGATAGGATTTTATTTGCTTGATTTGACCCCTCCCTCCTTTATTTTGACCCATATAAAAAGAGGTGGTTCAGGGGTTATTATTATTATTATAAAGGATTTATATTGCGCCAACAGTTTGCGCAGCACTTTACAATATAAGGAAGACATTACAATCACAATACAAATCAAGACATGATGGTAAGGAGGGGGTCATTTAATGTATTCCACCATCTATTTAGGTAAACCTGTGCTTTGCACATACCATGCAGGCTGAATGTAGCAGTGGTGAAGCAAAGGAAAAGCAAGCATGTGCTGGTGGAGAGGGGGCATTCAAGTGAAACTGTTGTTTAGCCCTTTCATGAGCAAAACTCAGGTTTGCTTTAAAGAACTGTGGCCAGGCAATGGAGACTTACCTATTCTTACCAAAAAGTAAATGAGCTCTCAATGACCTCTATAGCTCTAGGCACAGTGGAGTAATTCATCCTCAAAGTCTACAGTAGAAAGCTCTTTCTTTTCACCAGGTCTACTCCTGGTTCCAGCAGTCACTGAGCAGCTGTGCTCACCCTACCCCTCCTACAAGCAGTGACTGAGCAGCTCAGCTCACCCTGCAAGCAGTGACTCAGCAGCTCAGCTCATCCTACTCCTCCTACAAGCAGTGACTGTGCAGCTCATCCTACAAGCAGTGACTGTGCAGCTCATCCTACTCCTCCTACAAGCAGTGACTGAGCAGCTCGTCCTACTCCTCCTACATGCAGGGACGGAGCAGCTCAACTCACCCTACAAGCAGGGACAGAGCAACTCAGCTCAGTGTACATACCAGGACAAAGCAACTTCCACATGATTGTAAGTTATGTCATTGCAGCCTGGCCAGTCAAGATGGCCAAAGGCTTTAAACTCTGCAGAAGCCCCGGTAAAAAGCAATGGTGATGAGAGGCAACCGTGGTTGCATCTCTGGAGAATAGTATTTAAAAAGGCAAGCATACCACAACATGCAAATATGCTCAGCATGCTTGCACAATATGGCAAAAGCTCCTGGGGGCCCCAACATTACTAAGCGATAAGTTCTGCACTGAAAGAATTCACTGCTTCTACTGTGAGGATGAATTGCTGCCCAATTTCTGCAGCTACTGAGGTCAATGAGAAATTTTAAAGCTCAGTTACCGCTTGTTAAAAATATTTAAGTATTTGAATATCCAGTCAGCACATGGGAATGCAGGACACCTGATTGGTTCCCAGTGTCGCCCCTCCCTCTTCCAGTTTGAGTGCCGCTGTGCAAAAGATTACAATTTAATGATGTTTAATACAAACATAAAATGTACCCATATTTTTTTTTTAAATTGCTTGGAGTTCAGTTTTAATCGGGGCTCTAAAACACTTTGAACTTGAATGCCCTCAGCTTGGCACTATGAAATGCCAAGTATGAAAGGCAATGTACTAAATTTAGCTGGAAGGAGCCAATTACATGACAGGACAAGTGCATTGTGGTGGAGTTACTCTAAAGGACGATACGTGATATGGAGGCATCTGTAATAAACATCCCCGGCAGCTGACAGATATACCAGCATGCAGGAGTAAATGCACTCAAGCCTTTTACACACCTGGTCAATATTAACCAGACATACAATCAAAAAATTCATAAGGCTCAATTCACAAACCTAACACACCAGGGTAGGGATACGGGACAGTTATTTTAATGAGTCATAGGACTCATAAGGCCTACAAGATATGAAAATTACAATCATGTAGCTAAAATACAGATACTTCACCTTGTGGTAAAGCTTTGTGAATTGAGCCTTGAATCAGTTAATACATCTGTTCTGGTCAGTGAATAATGAATGTCAGATTTAGGCAGATGAGGTTATATGGAAATCTCCACTTTGCCTGCAAAGAAACCCAGCTTGTCCTCACTCCTCCTGCTTGGTCAATAAAGCCGCCCATCACATTAAGATGTAAACCCCAACAATGAATCTTTGTTTGCCCTTTTGATTTATTAAATATACCATTGAAAAGGGGTTTCTTATGTCCATTAGAGAAAGTGAAAAAACACCTCTCGCTCCCTCTAAAAATCTTGTCAACTGATAACAGGAAGTTACAAGTTAGAATTGTTCCCAACTATCTGTCTGGACTAGAAAAACACCCTCCAAACCAGGTTATGAAAACAGAAGCGGGGTGTTATGCAGTCCTAACACTGTTCCTGTTCTAGGGTGACAATGCTGCTCCCCCAAAAACAGTATGGCAAGTGAGCATTGTCACCCTAGGACCGGAAGTATTACTGGCAGGATCACCAGAAACCTAAAAAAAATTTAAAGCTGGCCTACAAACCCTCCCCTCCAGTGATGCCATGTCTGTGAGCGCCATCACCAGTGCAGACATCTTTGCACAGTCTTCTTTTGGTTTTGATACACAGGCGGTAATTTATACCAACACCCGGTTGATGCCAGAATTGTACACTGAGCTGGGCCTGCGCAGCTTACTGGATTGCACCAGAAGTCCCCGCAGCACAGCATGGAGTGTACACTTTGTACATAGCCAATAAAGTTTAAAAAAAAATAATAATCAGCGATAATGTTTTTACAACGCCAGGCCCCGCTACACCACGCTGCCACCCAGTGGATGCAGCCTCATTGTCTCTTCTGCAATAAAAGCCTGCCTCTTGGCACATTTTCCATTCAATATCCACTTTAAGTAAACCTGTTGCTTCTCCTTGCATGGGTCAAGTACATGCACACTTTAATAGGTAGATCTGGAACCCCCGGGGGCCCCCACAGAATACATCTACCGGTAATAGATTCTGTTTTTTATACAAATAATACTCATTGCATCCGTACCTTAAAAAGCTCAAACAGCATGTGGTAAAGGTGAGAAGGAACGTACACCATATTTATAGGTTGTCCAGGGGATTTGGCTGTTGGAAAATAAAAAGATGGGATTATAAAATACATGTGAAATGTGCAGTATACACATTGCCTGTCTACTAGGAATATTAACTCCCATGTGAATGAGCTCTAAAAAACAAAACAAAAAAACCCACCACACCAGTTGACTCATTGGGGGGAATTTATCATAGCAATTGCGAGTGTTTGAACTCACATTATGGTCACATGGGATATATTTGCACCACATTTATGATGCTAGTGTAATGCTGTTCATAAATGAGATGAAATAGACTCCAGGAAAGAAGACTCGCAATTACAGGCAAAAAGCTTTACTGTCGCATCTTGAAGAAGTGGTCATGGGGACTTGTTTTGTTTGGTGATGCTCCAGTTCCAGACAGCCGCAGAACAAGTGCAGATGTAAACAAGTGCAAACTTTCGGAAAACAAGCACAATTGGAAAAGTAGTGCAAGCTGAGGTTAAAACAGGTGCACATGTTAAAAGACAGATTTGCACATAAAAAAATGAACATAAATAATAACAATAATAATCTAAGAGGCTAAAACTATTGCAATTGCTTTGATAAATTCCCTCCATTGTTTTTTTTAATCCTATTTTTCTTTTTATACTTCCGCACTTTAACTCACCATTTGCCTGTTTTATTTGTAGATCAGGAGAAGCCAGATAATACTGCTCACAGAGCATTTTGGCATTCTCGAAGGCATCTGAAACATAAGATAAGCATAAATCAATTCCTGAAATTAGATTTTATAATAGAGGAGTACAAGAAATGAGCAGAATGTAATATTATTTAATTGTTGCCCAATACAGGTTTTCACATTTTTCTATATTTTGTTGTTGTGAGGTTTAATGTATTTTGAGGGAATTAGGAATTATACCCCCAATTGTTTTTGAACTCAGAAAGACAAGATGTCTATTTCTACCTACCATGCACTACTTCCACTACTTCGCAGTTGGGGTCAATACTTCCAATGTGTTTTGGGTGGGCAGGGTTAGTTCCACCGTCGAACAGAAGAGCTAAAATAAAAAATGAAGAGTTATAGTGACTAGCAATATACATTTATCTAAAACGATGAATAGCTCTGACTATGGTGCAGGCTGCCCCAACCATCATAACATCAGATTTCACTGCCCTGATGAATGCATAAAACAAAATAAATAATGTAGGTGTTGGCTGGTTTGGATAGTTTAATATACCATTATTATTGATAATAAACCAGAAATGTGGTCGACTTCTTAGACCCCTTTCACACGGGCTTTCCGATCAGGTCCGTCTGTCAGTTTTTCAGGCAGACCTGATCAGAAGCTCAATGTTAGTGTACGGGCAGCAGGACTGAAATGGACAGGCATCCCTTCACATCTGGTTAACCCCGGCTCCGGCCAGGTCTGGAAAAACAAATGGATCACAGATCAGTTACGCAGGACCGGGGGTAACCGGATGTAAACGGACAACTGTCTGTTTAGATCAGACCGCCCATACACTAACATGGGTCTGGCAATGTCATTTTTTTTTTCTTCCATCGCAAGAGGGAGTAAAAATCTGCAACATCCATGTCCATGCAAAGGTGACATATTTTCTGATCAGGAGGAGATCCGTGATCTGACCTTGTGAAAGGGGCTTTAGGATAATAATACACATTGTTTCTCTATGCAGCATTATTAAACACTGAAGTCAGCTAAATATAATCAATGTCCAACACTGGTTTTCATTATATTAGTTAATTACATCAAATTCTCAAGAAGGAAGTCTATGAATAAATCAAAAAGATATAAAAATCTTGAAACCAGGCGGGACAAATCCCAGTAGCCGGGTCGCAAATGCGCCTTAAAAATTACAGCTAGTGCCCAATTTGAAGGTTTTCTGTAGTTGTTGTCAATGGACGTTGCTCCAAAAAAATGCCTGCTGGCTCCTGGATTGGACAGACTGGCCCCTGGATTCCATATTCATTTGCCGTACACTATTTTAAAATAGAGCTATAAATAAAATATACTGCATCTGCCTACTGCTTGGACTGTTTTGGACATGGAAGCAAACAAGAGAAAGAAAAAAAAAGAAAAAGAGAATCTTGACACTAAGCAATAAAAACACCAACAGGATTCCTAGGAGATAGAAAAGGGCCGAGTTGCACTTTTAGCTGAAAACAAGGTCATTAAACTTTGTACTATGCCAAGCCTGAAAAATGTGATGGGCCTGGTGTATCAACGCCTTCCTACCAAGAACTGACGCTATTTCCACATAGCCACCAATCAGATTTAAAGTGACACTAAACTCAGGAGTGAAATTTTAAAAATACATTCAAGTACCTTAACTATGAACAACAATGTATCTTATTTGTGTATCACTCGGCTGTAGATCCTCAAATCATCTCCGAATTGGTGCTGACACTGTCCTTCCTTCTGGAGGGGGGCTACTTCTGTTCCCCATGGTCCCTGTGTATGTTGTAAAGTAGTCACCGCTCCATGCTTCCTCCTGTGATGGACTACAATCTCATGTTTAGGTATCCAAGTTGTATTGAGATTGTAGTCCATCCCGGGAGTGAGCTTGGAGCGGTAACTACTTTACAACATACACAGGGACAATAGGGAGCAAAAGTAGCCCCCCTCCAGAAGGACGTACAGTGTCAGCACCAATTCAGAGATGATTGGAGGATCTACAGCCGAGTGATACAAAAATAAGATACATTTTTGTTAATAGTTAAGGTAATTAAATGTGTTTTTAAGATTTAACACCGGAGTTTAGTGTCACTTTAAAGTGGACCTTGCTGTACGTAGATGAATAGGAACAAATCCTCTAGTAGCTGCAAGAATTTCACAAGCCTGGTGGTGATTTCACGAGTTATAAGAAAAGCTATTTTTTACTATAGGGACAAGGTACGAGAAAAATGTAATTCTGGGACATGCTTTGGAGGAGGAGGGAGTATCGGAGGTAACACTGGGTAATGCATGAGCATACACTTTAACTGTGAAACAGCCTCAAATGCATATTCTCTGCTTGAGCTATGCATATCACAAGGTCATACAAAAGGATAAAAATCTTAAATAAAACTAAATAAAATCAGTAATATTAATTAAAAGAAATCAAGTACCAGTGACTCATTGAGTGTTTTAGGAGCAAGAAAAGCCATCTTACTAAGGACTCACAAAATCATAGCCGTGGATTCATGACTGCAAAGCAGAATCCTGTGTGTTGGGATTCTGCTGTGATTCAGCAGCTACAGCTCGCGGGCGGTATACTGAGCTTAGGGTGACGGGGGGACGCTAGTTTGTGTCCTCCCATTACCCTAAGGAGAACTATGGGGAAAAACACTGACCCCATAGTTCTCCTTTAATCAACTGGTTAATGTAAAGAATTTTCAATGAGGTTTTAGTTTTGTATAAGGGTTAGAACCCCTCAGGTTTTTATTACGGTCTCCCCAGCAGAGAGAGTCACCTTCTCTATCTGCCCTCACCAAGATTGAAAGTAAGGGGAAATACAAAATTCTGCCTGTCCCCATTCGAAGCTTTACCCTTTATTCCCTTTCAGAGTTAACAGTAAAAGAAAGAGGGTTTTTCTCTCTTTTGGGGAGATTTCCGCTCACTTCCTGTGACAGGACAGGAAGTGAAGGTAAATCCCCCCAATGGGACAGTGGTGACTAGTATTTTAACCCTTCCCTACCTTATACCAAACTGAAAGCTAAAGTTTTGCTTTTTAGTCAATTGGTGCTTACACAGGGCTTTTCTCCCAGGTTCCCCCGTGGGCCAAACAGAGCAGTGTAGGAGCAAGGAAAGGAGAGTATGTACTGCTGGGGAAGGCAGGGCTAAGTGACAGTTTTTATCTGCACTGGGAAAGGAAAACAAACAGTCTCTTTAAGCCCAAATTTTATGTAGGAGGACAATAAACAGATTAATTTTAGGACAAAATCAATCCACCTGACATAGATAGAAATTTGTACTAGAAGGACTATGCTGTATAAAGCCGGCACATGAAACATGTGCCTTGTGGACGGAAACAAAAAAGTAAATTTTTCCCCATCTACAAAAATGGGCCATCGATCAAATGTGCCGCTGGGAAACTAGGTCAACAGTGATCTCCGAACAAAGAGTACAGATCCTTACTGTGCTGGTTAATTAACATCCTGATGGAGATTCTGCTCATGTAGAAACGGTCTAGGAAGTACTGGACGTTCTGATTGGTCACGGGATCCACCCCAAAGGCTTCTTTGTATTCGATAACCCCTTGGGCCATTGTGGGGACAACGTTGTTATGCCGGTTCCGGATGTTGACCAGAATCTCTGTAAAACTGCAGATTAAAAAAAATCTGCATTTAGTGGAATTTCATAACAAAATTTCAAATGGCAACAAGAGATCGTTCCCTCAAACGATTATTTCAAGATGAAAGACTCCCTTATACCCTAGTAGACTAAGCGCTTCCACCTTTATGAATCATTCCTAATCAAATTGTAAGCTCTTCTACCTTCTGTATCCATCCTCGTACCCTAATAGGATTGTAAGCTCTTCCTCCTTCTCCATCATCCCTTATACCCTAATAAATTGTAAGCTCTTCCTTCTGTATCTTCCTTTTGTATGCTCCATTATACCCTAATAGACTGTAAGCGCTTCCACCTTTATGAATCATTCCTAATTGATTGTAAGCTCTTCTACTTTCTGTATCCATCCTTACACCCCATTAGATTGTAAGCTCTTCCTCCTTTTGGATAATCCCTTATATGCTATTAAACTGTAAGCTCTTCTACCTTCTATGTCCTCCCGTATACCATAGTAGAATGTAAGCTCTTCCTTGTTCTGTATCCTTCCTTATATATTAATAGATTGTAAAGCTCTTCCACATGCTGTATCCCTCCCTTATACGCTATTAGACTGTAAGCTCTTCTACCTTCTGTATCCTCCCTTCTACCCCAACAGACTAAGATCTCCCACTTGCTGTATCCTCTTGTATATCCTAATAGACTAGAAGCTCTTCCTTGTTCTGGACCCTCCTTATACCCCAATAGATTGTAAGCACTTCTGTGTCTTGCCCTATACTCTAATTTACTGCAAGCTCTTCCCCCTCCTGTATCCTCCATTATATCCTAATAGATTGTAAGCTCTTCCTCCTGTATCTTCCCGTATATTCTAATAGATTGCATGCTCTTCCTCCTGTATATTCTAATAGATTGTAAGCTCTTCCTTCTTCTGTATCCTCCCATATATTCTAATAGATTGTAAGCTCTTCCTCCTGTATATTCTAATAGATTGTAAGCTCTTCCTTCTTCTGTATCCTCCCATATATTCTAATAGATTGTAAGCTCTTGCTCCTGTATAGTCTAATAGATTGTAAGCTCTTCCTTCTTCTGTATCCTCCCATATATTCTAATAGATTGTAAGCTCTTCCTCTTGTATATTCTAATAGATTGTAAGCTCTTCCTTCTTCTGTATCTTCCCGTATATCCTAATAGATTGTAAGCTCTTCCTCCTGTATCTTCTAATAGATTGTAAGCTCTTCCTCCTGTATATTCTAATAGATTGTAAGCTCTTCCTCCTGTATATTCTAATAGATTGTAAGCTCTTCCTTCTTCTGTATCCTCCTATAAATTCTAATAGATTGTAAGCTCTTGCTCCTGTATATTCTAATAGATTGTAAGCTCTTCCTTCTTCTGTATCCTCCCATATATTCTAATAGATTGTAAGCTCTTCCTCCTGTATATTCTAATAGATTGTAAGCTCTTCCTCCTGTATATTCTAATAGATTGTAAGCTCTTCCTTCTTCTGTATCCTCCCTTGCACCCAATAGATTTTAAACTCTTTCACCTTCAATACCCTAATAGATTGTAAGCTCTCGTACCTTCTATATCCTCCGTTATCCCAATAGACTGTAGGTGCTTCCACCTTTTCTATTGCCCCCTTCTAAAATTACTGATAGAAAGCAAACGGTGAGCCTGCTGGCAAGTCATGAGGTGCACATGGTCCTGGTATCAGTCTGAATACAGTGTACTGTACTGCATTGCAGGGTGCTTTATAACAAATGGTGAAATGAAATGACATACATGATAAAGACACTGGACAGAATCACACCGTGTACCTCTACCAGGCCTCATTACAGGGTATTCCTAATGACACTGAATAAGGTCACTGAATGCGCTTTGCAAGTACGGTGACCTTCGCTTCCAAAATAAAACACTACGCCTTGGAGAAAGTGGTGCACCTCAACGGGAAGTGCGCGGCTACATTGAAACAAGTCTGTGTTATTGTGTAAACAATCCAATCACTCTGCTTATTATTGCCGCGTTGTTGTGACAAAGTGCAGTGACATTTCATCTCCTGAGCCTCCAGCGGTGACAACGCATTACAAAACAACTTTGTCTTAATTTGCAAAAACAAGGCACTTACTCAGACAGAACCCTCTGGTCATCGGGGCTCTTTTCCACAAATTCTATTAGGTCCATCAAACTCTGGATGTACCTGAAAAAAAAGAGAAAAGACGTAATGAAACTTGGGGCAGGTATTAATAGAGAACCTGTCAGAAAAGTAATCTCAGAGCCGCCTATACTGACGGATTTTATTCTTATCCTTGCTTCACTATTTGGAGAGTCCATCTGGAACAAGGGAAACTGCCTTGTCTTGGGTTGCGGCTGCTCTGGAAAAATATGGCCAGTGCAGCCCCAATGCATAGAGTGTGAACGGGCCCTGTATCTATTACTGACAAATTGATTTCAGGGGGAAGGGTATTCCTTCTTCAGGGCTTGAATGTAATGTTTGTAATTCCCTCTGGGCAAGATTAATGTAAAATGCCTATTTCAAGGGTTCGTTCACACCATAGGGCAGTGCGTTCCGGTCAGAATCGGACCGGAACGCACTGCTCGCATTGCGGCCGGCTCACTTTTTTTGCCGGGCTGGAGGGGGCGTGGCGGGCCATTGAAGTGAATGGCACCGTAGCCACGCCCTGCGGCCGCAATGTGATCGCCCGCACAGGATCGCAAGGCACACTGTGCCTGCAGTGCGGTGCAATCAAAATGCTGCAAGCACTATTTTGACCGCACCGCAGGCACAATGCCCCTTGCGATCTCGTGCGGGCGGTCGCAGTGCGTGGCTACGGTGCCATTCACTTCAATGGCCCGCCACGCCCCCTCCAACCCGGCAAAAAAGTGAGCCGGGGCATTGTCCACCTGGGAAAGAAAGTGGCTGGTCACAGGAAGTGAGGGGGAAGGCTCTCTAATGGGCCCCCCCATCCCCAGTAGGAGAGCAGTAGAACCTGACACGGGTCCCCATTCTATCTAAAACTTCAATAAAATAAGAATTGGCTATTGATACGCTTGAATATTAAAATGTTTGCACAAGTCCAATTCTGAATAGCTCTCATTAATGTCAGATATCGTCATTTATAAGAAGGGAAAGGTGGAAGGGCTGCGGATGCACCACGTGAAAAAGGTAATGGAATCTTTGCAAATGTCCTAAGTCTTACAATAAATAAACATCAGAAGCCGAAAGCTCTGATAAAATCTAATAAAATCCCAGCATAGCATACCATACGCTGCATGGAGTTTCAATCTACCAGCTCATATAAGGCCAGTCTGCTGGAGTGAGAGTTCTGGAACCGTCCCAGCTTGATTCAGAAGCTTTAGATAAGGAGACTGGAACAAATTGTTCAGTACCACCTGTGCCCGTGTGCCAGGTTAGATACGGTCTATGCTACACAAGCTGTTTACCTAGTGACAGCCTCGGAGCTGGGTGTGTGCCCTCGTTACGCATTCCATCATGGAACATTTCCATCAGCATGAAGACGAAGCCATTTCAACGAGCACACAAAAACAGGGAGATGAGCAGTGCATGATGGGTACAGTTTAGCTTATGTTAGATCAGAGTATCGCTGGTGGCAAGAGGCCTCAGCCCAGAATTATGATATTTTACTTTTGATTAGGAAAGAATAAAAACAGGAAAGGACAAATAGTGACTATACTATCAATACATTGAAGGATCGATTGCACGAGCTCCATTGACCACAGCTAGAGAAGACCTGAAAAGTTGGGCACCAGCTGTAATTCCTACATACCGATGCCTCGGCAGCCCTGGATCACCCAGTACAAGGAGTATTATTAACTTCTCTGTGCTTTTACATCATTATATAATCTGTGCCCACTCTTCGTCTTGGGCTATGGACATGACTCTGCCGGGTTCTTTGTACTGATAATTTCTCTATCCATAGGCCACTATTTGATTGCCATCAGATCTGTGTAAACATTAGGATTCATTTAGTTCCAGGTTCGTTCTCCTATTTTAAAGTGGCAATTCTTTAATACTCGCAATCTTACAAATACATTTATTTTTTTTAATCACTTTCAAGGCTACGGGATGATGAATTTTACCCTATGAGTTTTCTCTGTCCTTCGCGCTATTGTGCTGAGGAAAGCACCATCTGTACGAGTGGCTTTACCTTTAGAGTAATCAGTCCACTTTTTTGGCCTGATGGGCTGATCTAATGAGTAACCAGGGGGTCAGGGAGGCTGCAGCCCGGAGCACCGGTAATAAAAAACAAAAAACCCAATGTAACCAGAAAATAGAGTTTTGTAAGAGGCTGTGGGCCACATTGGGCCATTTAAAGCTGAACTCCTGACAAACTATGGGAACGGAGTCATCAACCCATAGATTTGTATCTCTGTCCATCCAGCCCTGAGATTTATAGTCCAGTCACGCAGCACAGCCAGGCTTATGACCTCATTAACAATTAAGTAGCACAGCTTGGTAGCCCCTGCCCCCAGTCTGTGACTGGACCAGTAGCAGACTCATTAGATCATCTCTCGGATCTCTCGCCCCTGTCAGCATATTACTTGTCAGCATATGTGAATATAACACACCTGATTGGCTCTCTACTGCTACCTCTCCTTCTTGCAGTCTGAATGCTGCTGTACATGGGCTCACAAGTGGCCAAAATCCAAGTCAATTCAGGTATCTTTACTGTTAAATAGGGATGCACCGATACTAGTATCAATATCAGTGCCGATACAGAGTATTTGGGCGAGTACTCTTACTTGCCCAAATGCTCCTCCTGATGCCTATCCTGATTAGGGATGCCCTGATATATTGGCCACCAAAACATATGTCGCCGCCGAAACATATGTCGCTGAGCATTGAGTAGCCGCTTTTCACAGACAATGTAATTTTGAATGGGCTGCCTTAATGTTTGACATAATGCATGTTAATAGGCCGTGTAAGTTATTGCCTGCGCTGAGGTGTGTTGGCACCCCATTCAAACCTTTAAACATGTGCAATAATGCACTTTAGCACAGCATAAAAATTGCAAATCGAGCCTAAAATTTGTGTGTGTACAGGGGGCCAGGGTGTTTGTGTATTTTTCTTTTCTTTTACTTGACTCCATTCACAAGAGGACAAAACTCTTAGTGACGGTAAACATGCAAAGGCAGGTCCTCTTTAATGAGACATCACTTTACTCTGCAGGAGATCTATAAACATTAAAGTACTCAATTATGAATGAATGAGAAGTGATCTACATCACCTCCTGTTCATTCATAGTTGTTGTTATAGTAAACATACTCTGTCCTCATGTTATCAATGAACAGAAACACTCAGTATAGAGGATTCCTGTTCATTGATAACAGGGGCTGCAGAAAAAGAGATTGAGGACTTTGTGTCCTCAATCTCTTTTTCTATGTTAAAACGGAAATATCGGGGGTCTGTTAAGACCACCAATACTTCCCTGAAACCCCTAAAAGTAAAGTAAAAAAATGAATATATAAATAAAAATTAAAAAGTTTATAAAAAATAAAATATTTACAAAATTTGAAAAAATTAAAATAAAAACATTTTCGGTATCGGTCTGACAGTTTTTTTTAATTTCGGTTTTTAAATTTCCATTTCGGTGCACCTCTAATCCTGATAATGGAACTTCCGGTATCAGGAAGCCGGGTGGCGAGTCATTGCACGCCGCCCAGCTTCCTGATTGGTCGGGAAGCCAGCTCCATGTTCCCTGGTGACAAGTGAGCATTGTAGCCAGTTTCCTGACCAATAAGGAAGTCAGGGGGCGGGTAATGACTCGCCCCCCAACTTCCTGATTAGCCAGGAGGCCAGCTCCAAGCTCCCTCCTCACTTGGTGAGGAGGGAGCATGGAGCCGGCTTCGCAGCCAATCAGGAAGCCAGGCGGCGAGTCATTACCCACCCCCTTGCTTTCTGATTGGCCAGAAGGCCGACTCCATGCTTCCTCTTCACCTGGTGGTCATTACACGCTGCCCAGCTTCCTTAAATGGAACTTCTGGTATCGGTGAGTACAGAAAAAAAATATATCGGTACTCATAC